TTTCTCAAATTGCTTAAATTATAAGGCATTTTTAATTCATTATGGAAGAATCTGTTCCTGGAAAAAAAATTATTTCTGTATTTTTGCAGCCTCAGTAGGACTTCTTTTTAAATGCTTAGCAGTCTTATTACCTAAAGAGATGCTCAGCAGATCATACTGTATTGTAGGAAGTGAAATTTGAATATACACATGCAAAATGTTATGGGAAAAAATAAACATAAGTGTCAGTGAAATAGGTGGAGAAGAATATTTTTGACATAGGTACATATTAGAAAATTAAAGATCTGATTGCATGGTCAGATCATAAAATCATAGAATGGTTTGGATTGGAAGGGACCTTAAAGATCATCTCATTTCAACTTCCCCATCACAGGCAGGGACACTTTTCACGCACTAGACCAGGTTGTTCAGAGTCCCCACCTGGCCTTGAACACTTCCAGAGATGGGGCATCCACAGCTTCTCTAGGCAACCTCTTCCAGTGCTTCACCACCATCATAGTAAAGAATTTCTTCCTAATATCCAGTCTAACCCTGCCCTCTTTCAGTTTGTGGCCATTCTCCCTTGTCCTGTCACCACAGGCTCTTGTAAAAAGATTCTCTCCAGATTTCATGTAGGCCTCCTTAGAAACTGGAAGATGCTATAAGGTCACCCTGGAGCCTTCTCCAGGTTGAACAACCCCAACTCTCTGAGCCTGTCTTAATAGGAGAGGTGCTCCAGTCCTGTGATTGTTTTTGTGGTCCTCCTCTGGACTTGATCCAGCAGGTCTGTATCCCTCTTATGTTGGGGGTCCCAGAATGCAGTACTCAAAGATGTTGTCTTCTCTGTCATGGATGTCTTGTGATTAAGGAATTATGTATGCTTCCAGTTAACACACAATGACACTGCTGAAGGGAGTTTCGGAAGAACACTTTCTACACCTTCAAGTTCTTTACTTTTATTTATTCTATCTGGGTGCTATGATATTACAAAAAATTAGACTCTATGGACTCAGGTGCTGCATTTGTTGTAAAAAAAAAAAAGAAAAAGATGCATCCATCTCATAAAAATGTTGGACTTTAAATGTTTTGCCTTCAGGAACAACAGTGCATTTTGTGGGGATGTGGGAACTATGTGGGAAGCGTAAGACGATTGAACCCTTAACTATTCATTTGCTTGTTTTTAAGAGCCGGGGTTTTATAAATGATGTGGAAGAGAAGAGGGCTGCTGTCACTTAGCAACCCTGTCTGGTTCAGGAACAAAATGTTTCGCTGTTGGAATCTGTGCAGTGCTGCTACAAAACATTCCTGACTGAGTAGGAGAAGGGGCAGCTCTGTTCTGGAGAGGTTTGGTGCAATTGAAGTTAAGTGTTCCTATTGCTGCATTTGTGAGATGTATTCATGCTGGTATTTGTGACCATTAAGATTTTTGTTGTCTATTTCGTTGTTTGTCTGCTGTGACCATTAGCCAAGTAAACTTTTCCAAATTATTTCAGTAAAGCAAAATTATGTTTTACATTAATGGTACAAAATAATTTCTGCCTTAAATGATTTGTGATACTGTACTTTTCAGTATCAGTCATATATAAACCTTCTGAGAGGTTACATTAGCATCCCTAGAGGAAAAGAAGCCAAACACTTCCATGTCTGAAGATTTCCTGACTTACTGCTTTTGAATGATGATGGCATTTGGTAAGGTAGCTCTAAATGAATGATGGCATGATGAGTGTAATTAGAATGTATCTTTCTTTTTAAAACACACTGTTTTTGCTGACGTTAAAAATACTGTCGAGCAATCATACTGCTTGAATGCAAAATGAAATTGGCTCTGCTCCTTATCAACCTGTTAGTTGTCAGGAGGTTTCTGGAAGGCAAGCTGGGTTCATGTTTCCAGTATAAAGTTGAGAATTACTTCAGTTTTTCTATGTGCCTTTGGTTGAATATGCTTTTCAGTGCAAATACACAAGTCTTTTGTCAGTGAGTCTTTTTACTGCTAATCCATGATAAGCAAAGAATTGTTCTCATACTCCTGAAGGTTTGGTTTGAAAACTAGTTATTTTAACTAACATGTTTTCAACTGTGAAACTGCAAAAGCATCACCTTCACTTAAAAGATGCAGCCAGCAATGCAAAAAAGGTTACGTCCTATTTTCTTTCAACTGTACAAAAGGCAAAATTAGAAACATTATTATGAGTAGTTCTGGCTATAGGAGAAATGATAATAATCTAAGGCGTACTTAAAATAGAAAATTATAATTTTTGCATAGCTAGTAGATCAATAAGATCTCAGTAGAAAGTGTGAAACTTTTTTTTAATCTGAAGATAAATGTATGATTTGGTGGGTGATTTTGGCCTTCAGTTCCTTCTGTACAGTCCTGTCTTAGGTCTGCTGAGCATTCTGATATGCATAGTCTGTGGTCATATTCACATTGACTACATATGACCCTGCATGCCGTGAGAACCATACTGCATTTTAGATTACCTTGTGAAAGGTCTTTGCCTCTGGATCAGTATTGATTTTTAACTTGTTTGAAATGTCCAGTCTTTTGTGGTGCATCTTGAAAGGAGATTAAATGAAGAATGCATTTTGCTTTTCAATTATTAGCTGAAAACATTATTTTTGTCTGTAGTAGTAATAACCATTGTAGTAATATGTTCAGCTACCTTGAAATTTTCAGTTACTATAAAAGCATGATACTTGCACGGATGGGATTTGTTTTACTGATCCTGTTTTGTACTATAATTTTTTCAGGCAATCCAGCTTGACTGGTCAAGTTAAATTAGTCGAAGTTTGAATGTTATTTCATGGCAGTTCCCTGTGAACTTCTGGGTACGATTCAATAATGCTTTGTTTGTCTTCTGTGTTGCTCAGATTTAACTCTTAAAAAATTTGCATCCACACCTGTTTTAGACAGATAAGGTCAAATGAGTCTAGCTAGTGTAGCACTTTAGGAAGTTACTGCCCCTCAAACATCCATTGTGCTTTCATGCTAAAGACTACTTCCACGGCAGTGAAACCAGTTAAAGCATATGAATCAGCATACATATGCTGATTTTACCCCATGGCATAAAGTCTATGCAATTTCTTCTGCAGTCCAGAAGGAGCCACCATACTAAATCAGTGCAGGTAAGGGCATATGTACTCTTCAGTTTGTGTCCACTATCAGGCAGCAACAAAAAGCTGGAAATTAGAATATCTTGGATAGACTACAACTGTTAACTGAGACAGTCTATATTGACTTTTCTTCTTTTCATATCCTCTCTTCATTTAGTGTTTGTAATGTCATAGCAAGCAGGTGTCACTAAGTAAAAGCAATCACACTTTTAACTAGGGGTGTCTGATGTGTTTAATTTGTCCCACTCTCCCCTATTTCCGGTCAGAATCCAGAGCTGTTAATTTCCTTAGCAGACTGAAAACGAATTGGTAGATAATGTCTAACTTCTGAGAATTTATAGATCTACAGATTCTTTGCTGCTTTATGTGCTGCTTGGTTACCAAGGTTGTCTCATGTTTGCTTTGGATGGTGCCTTCTTTGAAGGTTTCTGTAAAGACTTGGTATGTTAAATTTTTATTTTACTGGTAATAAGGCCGGTTTGATGTTACCAGATGAAAGTGAGTCAGGAAAGCTGCAATAAAAAACACACAGAAACTACTGTACTTCAAAAATCACTTATGGAACCATTATTTACCTGGTCAGGTAACCATGCAGTATTTGTAGTAATTTGTCATTCTATTACAACACAATAACTTGTGCTTTTTGAAGCTGTACCAATGTGGCATTGAGCACTGGCATAATAATGTTGTCTTATGTTGCTACTTGGATATTAAAGCAAGAGCAAGATGTTTCATCAAGAGACTTCAATCAATTCTTGGTCTTGCTGAACTGGCTTTTACTAATACATGAAGGTGATGAAGGTGATGAAGGATTTCTTTTGAAATGTTAGTATTAGTGAGGAAAAGACATTTTTAGAAGACATAACTTACATGTCTGTAGCAGATAGCTGCCTGCAGAAAGGAGCTACTAATGACAGTAAAATTCCAAACAGTTTTGATTAAGAGATAATCTATTAGTCTCAGCTTGTTTGCTTTAGATTTAGAGTCTGATAAGGCTGTGTGGGATGCAGACACCTTGTTTCTCCTGTGGGATTTTTTTTCACTTTATTTTCATTCATACCTTAGCACAAGTACATAAGTAGTCTTGGCAAGTGTGGACATTGGTTCACTGAATAGTCAGGTGGCTCTTCAAAGCTGAAACTGGAAGAATAATGACAAAAACTAAACAGCATGTGCACCAGTCTTCCAGGTTGTCATTAAATGATGCTGCTAGCAGCTTTATCTATAGTGAGTTTCTGATAACTCTTCTATAACATGAGACAAGATCTTGTTCCTCCTGTCTGGTTCCTCCGACTCTGTGTAGGAAAAAACTGCTGCCAAATGTCAAACAAATGCTAATCATGCCATTCCACAGAGGAGTCTTTGGGAAGGGGAATGATGTTACGGAAGTGACCATTTGTAGATCTGCCTCATCTCACTAGCTACTTTTTCTGTGTATGCAAAGAAGACAGGTTGCACAACAGGACCAAATGACATGGCATGGCCTGGTCCATAAGTAAAATGCTTCTTAGGGAACGGTTTGTGGGCTAGTGCTGTATGATATTTTATTGTGACAGGATTTTACAAACAAGTATGTACTAAATGCTAGAAAGAGAACCTGAGATAACTGCAACAGAGTAAGCTGTTGCCTTATTGATAGAATCTAGCTCATTCCAGTTGTTTTGAGTGTGTTCAAATGGATTGACCCAATTTAAATCTCACCAACACATTTTTTAAATGTAGAATAAAAGCGTATTATGGAGTGTAAGTACAGGAACATATTTTTCTGTCCATGTAGACAGACCTCAAATTAGCACACTTACTCCCCAGTAAAGATGTAATTGTGAATTTGATGTCTGTCATATTTCAGAATTGCATGGAGCATTCTGATTTAAAATACCTCATAATGCTGCTGCTTTTCCTTTCACCAGAGACCAGCAGAAACTGTCGATGAAGAAGAAAATGTAGAAGAGGAAAATGACAAGGGAGAAGAGGCATATGAAGGAGAAGAAGAATATCCAGAAGTGAACAGAGAGAAAAGTGGGGAAAGTGTTAAAGAAAGAAGTGAAGGGGAAGAAAACAAAAAGAAATTAAATGAAAATTTTGAAGGTGAAGCAGAAGAAACAGAGAATGTTGACCAAGCAGAGGAAGAGGAACGTATCCATTTAAATGGCAAGAACAATGAAGAAGATGGTGAGGGAATGGAGCACTTGAACTACCAAGATGATCTTCAGCCTGAAGAAGAAATAAAAGAGGATTCTGGCAGTCAGAACCAGGTGAGTGTTTAGTCTTTCAAACTGTTGTTCTTACATTATTGTTCCTCATTCACCTCAGCCTTACACTTCTCAGCTGGTATCTAAGTAGTTCACCTCTGATAAAGTCCTGAGAGTATTTATGAGAACTTTGGGTTGCAGAAAAATTGGTTTCCATCTGTATAGATCAGTTACATCAATAATTACATTATATGCCTTCCAACTGAGAAAGCAGATGTTTCTCAATATTTGATGAATCTGTATCTCCTGCTTTCCTTATAATGCTGAATTTTGAAAAAACTAATGAGAAAAATTCCTGCAATTTCCAGAAAAGCATAGTCTTTATATATTTCCACACTAGTTTGTCTTTTAGGACAGAACAGAAGGGTGTGTCCATAACACTACAGTGCCTCATTATTTTGATGAATTGACTTTCCCAGAAGTTGCATTTCATAAAGGGCTTTTGCCATTGCTTTGTGGAAGTTTCATCTCCTTTTCTTAGAAATTGGAAAATACAGTGGAGATGAACAAGATCTTTAAAGGAAGGGGCTTTAGTCAGTTTACAAGCAAATATCCTATTAATTTAGGATACACGGTAACATGCCGTTGGCTTAAATGGAGGGACACAGCCCAGAAGAATAAAGTGGACTGCCCTGACTGTCACATGAACTGACCAGTTAACAGAATGTGGGAAACAAAGTGTTTTGTTTGATGGGGAGAATCCAGATCTGGGAAGAGTGGGATTCTTGAGCATCAGAAGCAGAACAAATTGCCACATATTCCCTACCTATAGGCTGCTGAAAAACAGTCTTCCTCTGCTTCTTGTGACACTTGGAATGGTTTCTTACACTTTGTGACTGTTTCTGTATGACACATGAGAACATTTTTCAATTAAGAGAGCTGAGTAACATGACATTTTCTCAGGCCCTGAATTTCTTCTGTGCTTGATATATTATTTTTTTATTTATTTTTAGAAAAGCTGAAGTTATTTATGGAAGTGGAGAAAGTGAGCGAGCATTCACTTGAAGTGGATATGTGGGTAACTGATGTTCAATGAAAGAACTGTAGGGGGGAAATCTCTAATTTGAGCACTTTCTCCTTTGGAAGGTATATAAGTATAAAGTAAATAAAAATTTTAACATGATCACTCTTGGAAAACATTTTTTACATTAAGGATACCTTGTGGAAATTTTAATATGAAGTGCTAAATACTGTATTGAAATGAAGGCAAATCTTTGATACCCAATGATATTAACAGTACGTGTCCTTTTTCTCTAGGTTGATTCCCATCTTGAAAAAACATCCACAACTCCAAGGGTGACAATCACCAGCCCACAGGAAAGTGAAAAGAATGACCAGAGCAATGACTATGCAGCAGTTGCATAGATAGGAAAAAAGTAATGAGCAGAAAATGAAAGATTATAATACTTTAAATATAAAGCAGGTTATATTTTGTGATTGATAACTAGTAATAGGAAGGCAGGTCAAGTACCTGCATAATGAGTATTGAGATGATAATGCTATATGGGCTGATAGAAAACAAGCATTAGTAGCTACTAGAAGAACATAGAATTATTTTTACAGGGTGAGATTTTCTGATAGGATTTAAGGGGGGAAATACAAGAGTACTGTATAGTAGTATTAGAAATAATGAATGAACTATTCTGTGATACGAGCTAGTTAGCAGTAATGGAATAACCACAAAAATTACACTGTTCCAGGGAAAGGCAGAAAACCTACCCAAATTCAATGTCAAAACTTCTTCGCATATTTTTTCAGAAAAAAGAAAAAAATTTTACCTTTTAATGAGTACATATGTAACTTTTCCTTTAAAATTCCACATAATATGTATGATTTTCAGGCATAACATTAAGATATAATTAGAATATGTTCCTCAATTAATGGACTTATGCCCACAGAAAATGGTGTACTATTATGAGGTGCCAGTTTTAATGTTACTAAATAGTGAATTTTCAATATATTAATGAGAATCGTTAGCTTTTGCATACATAAACAGTACTGATTTAGCACTGTGCCTTTATGTAGATAGCCTGCAATACTGCAAGTAGTTTCCATTTAAAGCACAAAGTTTTGTTGATTGTCCTGCACTGATTCACTAAACAGTGAATTGTTATCATAGTGAACAAAAAAGTAGATTAGTTTAAAAAGTTGAATTTGGATGGATTTGTAATTCAATCTATGTGAAATTTAATTTATTAGTGAAATAAAAAAAAAAAAAGAACAGGCTTGGATTCAGACTGACATTCCCATGAAACCATTGCTGTCAATGGAGCCATTTTAATATGTGACACATTAGGATAAGCTGACCACTTTTCTGTGAAAGTCAGGAACAATTGCTGCATTTATGAACCCTTTGCATGGCCTTAATGGTTGGAAGTGTCATCCTTTTGAGCAGGAGCTGTCGCCTGCTAGGCTGTGGCTTAGTACGCATTAGTAAATAAGGCATTGATCCACAGTGTTGGTTCTCTTAGTGACCCAAATTCCATTACTCGTATCATTTCTCTGTTAGTAATGGGAATAATTTGTAGTTCATGGAAATACAGCCCTTAGCATAATTTTATTAATTATACAAAGAAATACTGGGTTTCTTGATCGTTAATACTAGTAAATTATTACTACGAGAAACTAAATGTCATTTTTGTTGATTTCATGCCATTAAGACAAGAATTAAATTTATGAACAAATTGAACTTGAAGCACTGTTTGAGGAATGTGAAGAACCACTTGTCATGGCTGAAACTCATACAAACATCTTCACTTTCGGTACTAGCTATTAAATATATTTTTCCAATGGGATAGAAATATGTAGAGATCCTTCAGCATATTTCTGTGTATTGGCAATGTAAATATAAAAGACATAATGTTAAAAACTAAATGAACAGGGTTAGAACAGTTTGCCCTGTGGTATCTCTGTGAGATGTCTGTGAAACCTGTGTCTTTTGTTGAGCCAACTGACAAAGATTGGAGGGAATATTACATTTGTGATCAGCTCCTAACTTAGCCAAGCTCTTGAGGAATGCTTCCTTTATGTATGCTTCCTTTATTTGAGACAGCAATTAAGCCTATGCTCTAATATATTTGGTTTCACTGAGATTTAAAAAGACATTTAGAGTTAAGCAGAAGTAAAAAAACAACCAACCCTCCCCCCCTCCAAAAAACAAACAAACAAACAAACAAGCATAAACCAGAATTAATAAAATAACTGGACATGATAGTGAGGAAAAATGACACAGCTGCCTTTATAGTTAATCCTGCACTGGAATAATATATGCAGTAGCATTAAAAGCCCTTAAACAGCACTTAACCAGCCAAAAAAGGTGGCACTGTCTCCTCGGGGAGCTTGGGGGAAACGTGCCCGCTGAACCTTCTGTGCAGAGCTGACCAAGGAAAGTGGTTGATGCTGCATCACTGCTCACTTGGAGCTGACCAGCTCATATGCTTCCCAGTAAGCTGGACTTCAATGTGTTGCTGAATCAAGACAAATTACAGTAATCTTGTTTTGACATTACTGTGAATGGGCTCTTCTCTAGAAGCTAGTGGATATACCAGACACAGGACTCTACTTGCTGTCATACTATTGCAGATAAGGACTAACAACCTCTGACGTGTTCTTCATCCTCAAAAGTTTGAAGTTAAATCAACACCCAAAAATATGCTATATATATGATATATATATATACACGTATATATATTTTTTATATATATATATATGCTTCAAAATGTCGCACCTAGAAACCGTATTTAGGAAACCTGTATGGATTTGTGTGGTGATACTTTTCTCTCTTTTGTTTCTATTTATAGCTTCTGTCCGCCAACAGTTTCTGTCATTTCTTCCCTTTACCCAAAAGTTTGGTGTTTTCCATGCTCAAAAGACTTACAGATATCAATAAGAATAATTTAAAAGCTTAAACTAAATTCTAGTATGATCTAATGTTATAATTTTCTTTCACAGGAACACGAAATCCTATGAGGTGTTATTCATCTTTTAAATGTTTTCCTCTCTATTTTCTTGTAAGAAAGACAGGTTATATTTCTTCAGAAGAGCAAATCAGACTTTTTTGAAATGGAGATATAACCATTTTATCATTCACCTTACAACACTGACAAAATGAATTTTGTATCAGGTTCTTTTATTTAAAGAAACTAGTTTGTACCTAACAAATAATTCTGATGTTAAAGTAGAAATTAAACAAGAAACATATGGGTGGTCTTGCTAATAGTTTTTCTGTCTGGATCTGCTGTGTGATGGCTTAACTCAGTTTTACTTGAGAAATACATTATTTTGTTAAGCTTATATAATGTTATTTTATTAAGCTTATCTGCAACAATTCTGAGGCTTTTTTCTTGTTTTCGTTTTATTTTTAAAATAACTTGCTATTAAAGATAACTATCAGACAGCTATTCCTGTGTTTTCTCTTGTATCAAGGCCTATTTGATGTTAAATTTGTCTTTGGGTGACTGTCTTTAACCTGATAATTTTGCAGCTGGTAGGATTCTCCAATAACTAAAACTTAAGAAAACGCCAAACAGATTTGGTAGCTTTCATATTACATATGACTGTAAAAGAAAATACGCTATTTAGCTGTTATATAGTTATAAATCTAAGACTTAACAGCACGGTTAAACTTGCCATGGGTTTTTATGTCATCATTCAGGTTGGGACTGGATTATTGGTAGGCATGGTTCAGGTGATACTCAGCAAATTACAGGAGTTTTATCTGTTCACTGGCAATTCTTGAGAAAACTACTGAAGTTCTACGTCTCACCGCTGAAATTCCTAATTTCAGTGAAGCATTAAAGCATATGCTTAAATCCCACAGGACTGCAATTGTCATAACATTTTATCTAATGCTTTGGTGCCTTGACATATGAGAGCCAAAATAAGTTCATGGAAACAAAAGGGTGAAAATAAGGTAAATATAATCCCCACTCAGTCTGATCTAAAGTAAGGCAAAATAAACCTTCATGCAGAAGAATAGAAGAGTTAGTGTGAGTATTCTGATTACTTGGAAATATAGGGAAGGTATCGTTGCCTCGATATTTTGATTGATTACACCAAATGTACATTTAAACAACCATTAGATAATGAATGTAAGTACGATATGAAGTATCTCAAGGAAGGGTGTATTTATTAAGCAGTTGCAATCAGAATGATTGAATGAGATGCATGCAAGGATGTTTTATTTTGGGTGGCTGACATCCTTCAATTTAAGTTTTAATGAAAAGAAGTGTTGTGAACATGGCAATAGGCGTTGAAGCTGTCTGCTATCTATAGATTATTGTGCCTGTGCATATTTATATGCATAAACTTACAGACATGTGTGAATGCTGTAATCGAAGGCTTTTGCTGTGTGCTCACAAATACTGCACACATAAATCATGTACATATTAATAATTTAATCTTCTTGTATAGTTAGTGATGGGAAAAAACGGTTGTAGCTGAAATTTGCTATAATTATACAAGGAAATATATCTAAATCTAGTAATAACCTTATAAAAACGGTGACATATCTTCTTACACTGTGTACACTTTGGTACTTTGCTGAACTAAGCTCAGAATTCTTGAAGCCCTCAAATAAAATGGAAATAGTGACTTAAAAGTGACTAGGAGATACACGGGCTGTCAGTGGAGAAGATTCGGAAAATTTGAGAAAGTACAAGTCTTTACTACAACATGTGATACCAAAACATTGAAAGGTCTTTAGTGTTAACTACAGTGCAGGGAACATCTGATTTAAACAAAGGGGTATTTTGAAACATTAGGCAGACTTCCAACAACCTCTGTGGTTACCAGGAATGCCCTTTAATGTTCGTATTTTTCTTGCAGTCACCTACACCTGTGATGATACTTAGCTCTAATGAATTCCTCATTCAATTCTACTTGAGTAGAGTGCGGACCCATCTGCCCAGCTCTAGAGACAGAGCTGAGGCAGGCAGCACCTGGAGCATTCAGCAGCTCTATTCTGCAGCAGGATGGGCACCGACTTCCTTCAGGCGAAGGTCGGCAGCAGCAGTGGAATCCTCAGTTGTGCAGATGTGCTGGCTCAGGAGAGAAAAATGCTCTCCCTGCCTTTCTTTCCAAAACTCACCTGGTGCATAGCAAAGTCCCCCACCATTGGCAGATGAGGCCCTTGCTTGGGCCCGTCCTGCAAGAACCAGGCTGTGCTGAGAGAGCAGTGCCACAGTAGAGAGGCACCAACGAGACTCCAACCAGAACCAGCAGCCTGAGCATGGTACAGTTGGGACCCTCTGCCCTCCCAGGCTCTCCGGCCCATAAGGCAGGTTTCTTCCCAGCACTGCAAACATGGACGTCCTGGTGTTCCTGGTGGCTCCTAACCTTTTCTGCTCCCCTAGTGACACTGCGGGATCCTTCCTCCCTCCCTCACCCCCTCCTACACAAGCTCACCCCAGTGGACAAACATCCTGGGGGCACAGCCAGAGGCAGGTGAAAGGCAATGATTTTCATCTCTGCCAGACCCTCCACCAGCCTCTGCAGGCTCCTGGTGCTGAATGTTCTTCACTGGCAAGAGAGGAGTGGGAGAAGATGAGCAGCAATGCCTCTTCTGCTCGGCTGGAGGAGCAGTGCTCGGGGGCAGAGCCCAGACCACAGAGACACTCACAGAATAGCGGCAGCTCAGCTCCTTCTCCACGAGTTTGGTGAAGAGGGGGCGGGTCACCTGGGCTTTCTAAGATCCTTCTGGTGTCCCGTGCAGCAGAAAGGGACAAGGACAGAGCTGGCTGAGCCCTAAGCCACCTCTTCCTTCCGGTCAGGTGGCTCTGCCTAAGAGCTGTCCATCGTCCTTGGAGCACCTCTCTCTCCCCCACGGAGGAGCAGAGAGAGCTGTGCCTGGAGCATCCCCCCAGATGGCTTTCCCCAGCAGAGTTCCTACCCAGAGTCCCTTCAGAGGCCGAGAGCTGCAGAAAGCAAGGAGAATCAGCACCAGGCCTCACTGCCCCCTCAGCCCGTGGGCAGACATGAGCACCTGCATAGCCCTGCCCCATGGGGAAGGACACTGGCAGAATGAAGCGCTGGGGGTGCAGGGATCAGGACAGAGGTGCTGCTTCACAGCTGGCTGTGCCCCAGAATCTACTAGTTGAACTGCAGGAGGTTCCTGCCAGTCTCTTTCTCTTGGCAGCAAAGAGTACTTTGTACTCCTTATTTGGAATAATGTGACATTTTCCCTGTAGTGGAGTGCTGTGTTGAGACACTGAACAAAAGATTTTATAAGGAGTTTAAGGAAAACTACTTTTCTTAAGACTCACTACATTGTTTTCATTTTTTTTTTTTAGTTTAGGGCTATTTTTTCTCTCTCCTTTCTCATCCTATCTCTATCAGAAACTAAAAAAAGCTGTTCGGATTTTCAGCTTTTAGATATGAATCTGTTTAGGTTTCCTCTTTCTTCTAAAGCTGTTCAACTCTGTCAAATGAAAAAGCATTGCTAGAAATGCATATTCCAATTCAAATGCAACATCTGGTAGGACAAATCTTGTCAAAATACTGAAAAAAACCCCCCAATATTGCACAATTTATTTTTAAACAACTGGTTTTTTTCTTTAAAAAGAAATTATTCTTAAAGTTAATTGTCATTAAGAAATTCAGTCCCAACCCTCTTTTTCTCTCTGGCTGAGCAAGACTTTCCCACACTGTATCCCAGCGGCATGTTGGTGACTGATCCTGCAGACTGCCCTACTTCTCTCCCTTCCTTTCCAGGGGAGAAGCAGCCTCCTTCACTGAGCAGATTTAACCCTGCTGTAGCCATGACTCTTGTGGAGCTGTGCTGACTTGCTCTCCTCCTTACCCTCCACCTTGACTTACTTTCCTGGTGCAGATTAATTGTTTGAATGAGGCTCAGACCCTCTGTTTCTCACAGCTGGAGCCTGGGAACTGCACATGCTTGGCAGGAGATAAGCAGGTGGGAGTCTTTGGGACTGCTCCTTGAGAAGCTGGGAACAGCCAGCACTGGGGGGGGACTGAATACTCCAGCCTTCAGCTGAAGCAGTTTTGTGAAAGAACCAGTTGAAGCAAGGAGCTAGGAATCAGGATAGCTCAAAATCAATGCTTGAGGCAGGAGGGAATTGCTATTTCATTAGCGAGTACTTAGGGGTTGGGTGCCATCACTTTGGGTTTGTGTTCACATGGGGGAATTCTCCTGCTCTTGAGAGAAGAAAATATATTCAGTAATATATAGACTTTTCTGCTTGTATTAGTTGGGTAGGACTTCTGATTTAACTAGAGATTTGACTGATTTAAACTCCTCTGTCTCAATGATGAAGTGATGGTGTCAGACATGAGCAATCATGCTGTCACTGCACTTTGGATGCTCAGCTCAGTATCCTTATGCAGACTTGCCCTGGCCCTTGTTTCCTCTGCTGCCATGAGTTGTGGTTTCGTTACTGCATACCATTTCCTCATCCTTCTGTTTCTCTGCTGTGTTTGCTTCTTCGAGTTTGGTTGTGAGAAAAGATATTTCTAAAAATAATGCCTATGCTCCATGTTATTTCTCTCTTAGAAACTGTTGATGCAAGGCTGGCATCATTAGAGTAACCTGAGCTTTACACCTTCCCCTACCATTCTCTTATTGCATCCCCGTCCCTCCACCACGTTAGCACCAAACAGAAATGAACTTGATGAGCTAAAGGTTAGGACTTGCATTCACTTTTTAAAAGTTGTCTTCTTCTACAGAGAAAGAGATATGGATGAAGACTATTTCTCCTTTTTTATGCAGCACAAAGCTTAGTTCAAGATGACCAAAGGGTTCATTGTTCAAAGTATCCTGGTTGTGGGTGGCTTATCCCAGGACAAGCAAGGCAGGCTAGCCAAGCCTCTTGGGTGACTCTGACTGGGGGCCTCACCCTCCAGGACATCTGCTGCTCGCAGATGGTCTTGTGTGTGTACAAAGGGAGACAGACATCTGTTGTGGTAGCATTGTGCCTGCTCATGGGGATTAGAGCCTTTCCGTGGAAGAACCTTCTCAAGTTTGATTTTCTGTGAGGAAACTGAAGCAGAGGGTTTTTTGCATAAAAGGTGTGGGTTGGTTTTGATTTTCTTTTTTAGAGGGGTGGTGGTGTTCATCTCAAAGGTTTTAGTATTGGTGTCAGACTTTTTTCAATCACCAACACCTATCTACACTCAGATATTCCTCTGCTGCTCCACAGCAGGGAGAGCCATGGTTCTGCAAAGGGCCCCTGAACTTGGCTGCGGGGGGTGGGCACGTGCCGGGCTGGTGCATGAGGGAAGCAGATTCTGGTGTGCTGACTGACCTAGTAGTGTTTGCTACTGCTTTCAGACAAATGCCTACTTCTCTGGAAGCCTCCAGCAAATGAAAAAGACTATGCACAACACTGCCCTAAAAGGGTTCCCATACCAAAAGGAGTGATGTATGTGCCAGGTGC